GTATAAACACAACTCGCTCTAGTTTTTCCAATAAAACTTGAAATCATAAAAGAAATGATGTGTACTTACATGAAAATTATTGTTGACCTATTTATTCAATGGTAAGAAATTAAATGAATTTTACCTTGGGCAAATTACTGAATTCATTGTGGAGTTTTCTTGTCTAAAATCTTCTGTTAGTCTTTCTCTCTCAAATATACAAAGTAACTCAGTAAAACAGGCAAATATTTTAGATGTTGGTGACAAAATGGACCGTCTGAGGGTCAGCCCTGAGCACAGGCAGGTTTGTGGACGCTGGCGTGGCATAGATGTGCTTGATGTAGTCCAAACCCAGGAACAGGACTTAGAATTTCTCTGTGAAACTAAAGCCAGGTGGAACAAGTGCAAATGCAAACATGCATTTTACACGGTTTGTGGACAGGAGAAGGAAAGCAAAAATAAGAGCTTTCCAGGTAAACAAAATAGTAATTTTAGCAATCAAAGTAAATTTAATGGTTCAAATTAAAATAAATTAATGGAATGGTTGGTCTCAGAAGTCCCTAGTGAGGTACAAGGATTACATCACCTTTTGGGCTTCTTAAAAAGCTTTGACTTTCATTTTGGAGGAATGAGAGCCAGGAAAAGAGGAACACATCCGAATGTACTTTTAAAATGATGACTAAGTGATGTGTAGAGACTGAATTATCAAGATGTAGAATTATAGCAGAGTTCAGTTAGGAAACTGTTGGTAAAAATGGGTACTGATACTGATTTTGATGGCGCACAGAAGAAATAAACAGATTTGAGAGTTCAAAGGGATGCAGAGTTGGCAAGGATTAGGGCCAACTGCCTGTGCCAAGGCCTGTAGAGCCCAAGGAAGGGAGGAATCCAGGGTGATGCTCATGTGTCTGTTCTGTCCTAGGCTACTATTGGGCAGAACCCATCACAGGAGGAAGCAGGAAGGATGGGATTATTACCTGTTTCCTTTGAGATTCAGTGAATCACTTTGAAGATTAAGTGGAATAATTTATGTGACAGCAAATGCCACAATTCCTAATGCATTATAGCTCATTTTTGCAGTCCTTTCTATTTCCTTTTCTTTTTTCAAAGTTGTTCCAGTAATTTAGTAGCAAAACTGGGAATAGAATGCCAGGCTTCTGCTTACCAGCCCAGAGTTCTTTTTTAATGGACTGCTGATCTATAAACAAAGATGAAACACAGGGATTTCAAAGCAAATATTCACAATTTATTCTGGAATTGCTTACAACCTGACAGCTATCCAATTTATTTTTAGTTTATATTTAAAATGAATCATATGTTCTGAAATGACTGACAGAAACACAGCTTTGTTTCTGCAGCCAGTTCTTATCCATCATTTTTGGATATCGTTCAGAGCTATAACAGACTTTCGTGGTGTTTAAATGCATTCATCCATGACAACAACAAATGCTAATTATCATAAAAAATAAATAGTTCCTGTTAGCATCATTGGAAGAATTTCTCCTATTCCAGCACTATAATGCATCTATCATCCCATCTATTTTGGGTATGGGAACAAAGACTGGATGGAAGTATAATCACCATGTATCAAACACTAGACAGCACAACAAATCCAAAATGAATATAAATAGGAATGATGTACAGAATAAATAAATCTGAAAATGGAAAAATGAGACATTAAAATGACATATGTGTGTCCTGCAGTAAAAGTTGACACACAAGTCTCTAATAGAGTCAATAACGGTAGTCTGGCTGGGTTGGGGGCAGCACCCATGGCAGTGTGCCGCTCTAGCTTTATCCACACTTCCTGTGCAACCTCGAATGGTAGTCTAGCTTGCTTGCAAAATATGCATACTTTCTGAATTCTATCATGAAAATTTCTCTTTGAAATTCTTTAATATAAACAAAAAGTTTGCTTTTATGTATTGATGAATGCATTTCAAAGGGCATCTTTTGCCTATTCTGTGGATGCTATCATGTAACATAAATCAAGACCACCCAAGTTCTGCAAGTGCTTTAAATGAAAAGAGACAACAAATGGCCAGCTACAAGTGCAATTAACTCATTAAGAGTAATTATAAGAACATGAATAATCACATGTCCCCAAATGTGGATTAGAAGCCAAACAAGGGCATGTAGCAAGTGATTAATCAATATTTATTGAATTAAATGTTGCATAAAATAGGACAATAAATTTCCCCCTAGAGAATTTTCAAAGAACACTTATTATCACAAATAATTCTGTAATGACTCTACAGTAAAATTAATAATTAATTAATCAAAAACTTGAAATCTGTAAGTATCCATGTCACCTTCAAAGCAACAGTAGTGTCAATTTCTTCTAAACAGTAACTTAAATTATTCCAGTAAATTTAATCCTGAGGTCAGAAGTCCATTAAAGCATATAAGGCTAATTAACTATACATGTTCTCTATTTCGTTCAACAACATAAAAGTTCAAATATAAATTAGAGCAGGGAAAGATCAATTGCACGAGAAGCTTCACTTTATCAAAGTAAGATATGAGTGATTACACGTCCCACAGGAGTAACATACGAGAGAAAAAGGACACACGTGCTGGGTGCCGAGGTCAGCTCCTCCAGTCTCAGCAGCTGGAGAGGCAGACACAGGAGGAAGCTTGGCCCAGGCAACTCAGCAACCTAAGGAGACACTGGATCAAAAAGAAGGAGGTACATCCGCACACTAAGATGTCTTAAGAAGTTCTCAAATTTTTCCTTAAGTGCTAAATCAGATAAATCAATTGAACTTCAACCTAAACTAAACATAGAGGACTTTTTGGGCCACTCTTAAATGTACACTGCACTGAAGTTAATTGGCTCACTCTTTTGGCTTCCATGTCTTTCAAGGTCAAGATTAGAGCCATTTTAAAAAAATGCTGGTAGTATCAGTGAAGGCTTATGGTAATGAATTTAAAAAAATCTCAGGAGATAAAATGAATGTCCAAATACCTATTAGCATTCATCTGTATTCTTCTATAAAAATGCAAATTACAACTAATCAAAATTTGACAGGCTTTAAAGGCTGGAAGAGCCCCTTTGTGCTGTCAATTTTAGCACACCTCGTGTTGATCATCAAAACACACACATAAATGTGGTACAGTGACTATGTAACTTAAGAAATGAAACCATTCGTAAAACATTAAGGATCAAGGGAATAGAGCTTTAAAATTAATGGTCTCAATTTAAAAAAATGTATAAATGAAAAAGGAAGAAGTATGGAAGGAGATAGGAATATAGTTAGGTTAGAATCTATATAGCTGAGCTAAATCCTTAGTGTGGCAAAACAAACAAACAAACAAACAAACAAGAAACAGGTATGTAGAACACATGGAATGTCTAAAATAGTCTAATAGAGTAGTCTATTGTCCCATATCTATATGCATTTTAAACTTTTGCCACTTTTCTTCCTGCAATGAGGATTTTAATAACAAATAATTACAAAATATCACACATACGTAGATATGTGTGTATGTGTGTGTTTATACAAATAAATGTGAATGTGCATGAGAATACATGATACTTAGACCACACACCTTTAAGTTTTGTTAGGAAATGATGGAGAATAACCTATGGACTCACAATATATGTCTAGCTAATTTTTATGTTTCACTGGATGACTGTCCCTAAGCTCACATGGAGCCATCTGTAACTAGGATGGTGTGGATTATGATGAATTATACAAGTCCAGGGAAACCATTCACACACTTATGCTATCATTCACAACGCGGCATGCAGAACTTTACCAATGACTGAAAGGTAGGGACATGGGACTAAAACATACTACCATAAATTTAATTGGCCCAAACTGAGCCCAAAGACAGATAAAAGACACTAAGGTTATTGCAAGAACTTACTGACGAAAGCCTAAGTCAAGTATTTCAAAGTTTTCAATAACCAAAACATAATCACTAACTTCTGTGTGGACTCAGACTTATCCCAATTAAAGCATTTAAAAGAATTATTTTCATTATTTTCTTAAGCATGTAAATTGCTGCTTAGAAGAGTTCCTATCAATTTCTAGTGATCAATTTCTTCACGAAGCTTTATATACTGGACATATCAATGAAGTATGTTCCTGGCATATTGATAGATGACTTAGATTCAAATGTATTTTGGCACCAATGTAAATATGGAAGTATAGCAAAGTGCTTAAAATAAAGTCATAAAAAATAGTTTGAAGTGAAATGAATTGTCACTCTATAGCAAATAAATACTTCCTCAACCAATACACCTGCCAACAAACATTAAATGTATTTTTACTGTTTACTTTCTTCTACTTCTCTGAGAGTTATAAGTAACTAATAATTAAAAATACTATTTATGTTCAAAAAATCACAGCATACCTTAAGATGAGAAAGCATAGGAAACCAAAATATTTACAATATTCTTTTAGGACACTAAAATAAGTACTACTTATTAAGTTATAATTCCTAAGTCCCTAAGAGGTATCTATGCAAATATTTCTAAAACTCTTGAGCACTTGAATGGCTTTTACATTAATCTACATTTCAGAAAACCACCTTTTAAACCTCAACATGCCTTATAGATGTGAGATGGATTATTTTTTCATATGCATTTTCATATAAAGAGACATACAAAACATGAAGGGTAAAATGTGAGTTTCTTGGCCAGCTTGACTGACAGCCATAAGATGTTGCTATGGGAAATTACCCTTAACCTAGAAAAAGCACTATTTGAATGAATATTTCACAATTATGTTGGTACCTTTGCTATACTGTTTGTCTAATTCATAGGTCAAGCTAGCTGAAAGCAAAGTGCTTGTACAAATATAAGAAAAAGTCTGATTTAGCTATTTGGGAGTACAAAATTATGATCCGTATTTGGTTCCAAATCTCTCCCTATTCCTTATTTTAATTTTCAAACAATCAAACAGGTAAAATATTCACAGAAACATTGAAGAATATGTTATTCATCTGGAAACCCAGAGTGGGATCCAGGAAATCCCGTGTATTTAAACCCACAGGCTGCTGGTGACACTTACCAGTACTGTCATCGTACACAACTGTGACGGTTTTCCACTTGAAAAACTGCACCAGGTCTAGGATGGCACGGCTCAGGGAGGAGAAGTCTGGGTAGAGGCTAACGTAGAAGGAGTCCTTGTTGTCTGACACCTGGTGCTTCCAGCGGGTCTGTATGTGGGGAACGCCCAGGGCATTGCAGATGGACTGCACCGCGTTGGCTGAAGAGCTGTGTGAGGGCCCAAAGATGGCCGCCACCCCAAGGGACAGCTGATCACAGGCTGCAGAGGACAGACAAGCCTGTTAGCAAGGGAGGAGCGGCACCCGGAGCCAACAGACACTGTGTTACTATTAAAATCCAAAGGCATCATCCTGAGAAAAGACATTTTCTTCAAAATAACACTGGCATATTCTTAATTTTTCATTTTGTCTCACACATTACATTTTTATTTGCTACAGAATTAATTCACCAAATTGCTTGTATCTTCATGTCAGATAATTCTGTAATTAATATCAAGGTAGGAAAAAGGGCAAGGCAAAAGAAAAGGAGCTTTTTTTTTTGGCGAAGGAAGGAAACATTCATTCAAGAAAATTTTTAGCAGTGAGATTGAAAAAGTGTGGCTTCTTAAATTCACCAGTTTTCTATATAATTTCAAAGTCTTCATCAAAAGCCATTTGACACCTGCAAAACTTGCTCTAGAGCTAGAGGGTGATTTCATATTGATTAATATCATTAAGGAGAAAGAACTGTAGTGTCATTAGATCAGTGTTCAATTATTTTTATATAATTGGTTTCTGGATGTTGTACATCTTTTATGTTATACTTCATTTTATTTTTTATTCATTTATTTTTCTGAGACAAGATCTTGCTAGACTGGCCTGAAACTCGTAGTGACCCTCCTGCCTTACCTGCTTACGTGCTGGGATTACAGGTGTGTGCTACCATGGCCAGCTTTCTATTTCTTTTTAATTAGTTTGTACTCACAAGAAATTTTACTCCCAAGACTAATAATTATAGTAATTAAGAGAGATATAAACAAACTAGAGGGTATTCAGATTAAAATAGAGTTGCGTCAAGACTTGAAATACTGTAAGGAGTCCTGAAGCAAATGTTGAATTTGAGCCAGAAAATGATTTACTATTGAAAACATGAAAATTATCTTAAAATATGAGGTAACTTGATCTGGGATGTACACTTAAATTTGTTTCACTTGAGTAAGAAAAGACAAATATTGGAAGCTTCTCATAAATTTTCACCCAATTTAAATTAACAAATTCTAAAAAAAATAAAAAAGTCCAAAAATGAAATAATTTGTGCCAGGAGGTAATGGTTTGGAGATAGGATAGAAAAAATAAAGCTACAATTTGGTTTCCCTTTGTCTCAATCTATCATGCCTATATCTTGTCCTCTGAATATTGTGTACTATGAAGACAACAATATGCAAGGTATTAATCATTGTAACTCTCCTAGCTAACCTTTTTTGAAACTCCATTTTCTTATTTCTTTTTCTCTTTAAAAAAAAAAAATCTAGATCAGATTCTTGCTCAGCTCTTTATGAGGCATGCTTTTCACTTAGGGAATGGCTATTTGAATCATAATATTCATTCTAAATTTGCCTAATCTATCACATTCCCCTTCAAGACAGAGGTCACAAAGTTAAAGAGCAGCTAAAGAAATTTTCAGTTTGCAGTGCTGTTTAAAAGCCAGTTTTGACAATGTCCACATCCAAACCCACTTGGAGTGACACCTAGAAGGCTACAAACCTTGATCACTTCAGGTTCCATATAAAGCAGAGCCCGGCAGGATGCTGCTTCCTCCAAGGAGAAGCAACTCCTCAGTGAGGGAGGTGAGATAGGCTCCATGCTACCCAAGGGCAACCGCCTCTTAAGAATCAAAGTACCCTTCAGGCCTTAAGGGTGTCTTGGGAGCTATCAGGCCAGAACAGAGAAATTCATCTCCCTAACCAAAGCTGCTCTGTGAGCCAGCCAGTGTGAATCTCTGTCCCCTCTATTTACTTTAAACTGTAGTCTTTTTCTTATTCTTCCTATTTTCCAACTTGACCTCATAAATCTGGGTTATGCCTCACACTCAAATTCTTGTTCCATGAATTGAGAACCTACTACCTTCTTTGTGGCTGGAGTGAATCGAAGTCTTGTCTCTTAATTAGGGGACCTCCTTGGACCCAGGCCAATGTAAATCTCCCCATCACTGCTCACATTTAAAGGGACCAAGGAGGATTATAATTGGGTTTGGATGTAGCCTGGATGCTCAGACTCAGTTTGCCAAACTGAATTGTTTATGGCTGCACCATGTAAAACTTCTGATACTTTCCTTCAGCATTTTCTGTAAAGATTACAACATGATGAATGCATTCTTAAAGAGAAATGTTCAATAATTAACTTTTAGTTGAGGAAACTACTCTTTCCTTTAGAAAACTACTTTGATCTAAATAAATTGATTTTGAATGTCTAAATCCTTAATTTCTAAGTAATGACTGAGATTCTGAATCAGTAGACAGCTGGAGCCTGAAATTTCTTACTCAACATGGGAATTTAATTCACATATATTAAGAACAAACAAACACTCATCAGAGTGTTCGAGAGTTTATAATGCAAGACAAGCTAAAAACATTGTATTTTGCTATTTAAAATATCTTTATAAATTTCAATAATATCTATGCTTGTCAGTTGTCCAAAAGGTCATCTAAAATAATGCATGATTTATTCAGGTTCTGATATCAAATCATAAAATAATTGTGCAAAATAGTATTACCTAAGGCATCAGAGAGATAAAATGGCAGGGAAAAGGCCAGAAGTTAACATTTAATTTCTTCTTATCTCTTGCATTTTGAAAACTTTTTTAAAAAATATTGTAAGTGTATTGTTTTATAGTTGATTATAGACATAATTATTAACATATACATTTTTGAGCCCTACAAGTACTCAACAACCTACTGGTTATGTGTCCAATGCTATTCTTTGCATATTTCTGTATTCTCCAAGCAGTAACAACTCAACAAAAAAAAAAGGTTCACAGGATCCAAACCAGTGATGGCATTGAGCCTTTAATACTTATACCACAAAGAAAATTACTCAAGGCAATTATTTGAGCTTTTTCTACCTTCAGGCCAAAGTCAAATGATGGATATGATGCCCAATGGTTCCTTTTTCACCTTCATAAAGTTTATTAAATATATACTCTCCAATTCAGAATAATAGGATAAAATCTCCCAAAGTGTAACAAAAACTATATACAATGCTAACGTAGCCTCCTCTTAAAGAACTCTAATGAAAGAAAACCTATCTTTTATATACATTTTATATATCTTTTATTTTATCAACTTACTTGAAAAAAAAGCCAGTTACTGCGCTGGCCCTGTGCAGGACAGCGTGTCCAGAACACACTGGGCCCCAGGAAAGCCCAGGCAGCGCTGGTACTCACAGGGGCAGTAGGTTTTCTCATGACTTACAAAGTTTGTAAGTTCTTCAAAATATTTTGAAAATCAGTTGATGTTATCACTCCATAATTTTGCCAGGGCATACCCTTTTTGTAGTTAGAAGATTCTAGCATGTGTTTTTATGAAGTCACTAAGAAGAAATCTATTAATATTTATCTATACCGCACTCATTGCATGTTCTTTGGCCTAAACACTTTCATTAAAGACAGCGCTTCTTCTTCCTAATGAAAATAATCATGAACTACGCCACTAATCAAATGCACTTGTCTTGCTATTAATGACTTATTTTGCAATTATGATGACAAATGCAGCATTTTGCAGTACACTTTAACCTTTTCTTTTTAGCCTTCCGAACCTTTCATCACCTTGACATGGTTATGAAATGTGGAGGCTTATTTGTATTCATAAAGATATGAATTCAAAGGGCAGGCAGAATATGGCTTTGATACACACAAGGTAGCTTCTAGGGGAAAAGCAGGCAACTTTCATCTCAAGTAATATTGCACCTTATCGGCTGCCATTAATACTAATAAGCTTAGAAGAACTCTGCACCAAGTTAGAATTATAATTATGCACATTTCCATTAATGTAGTTAGTAAAACAATATTACCATTACAGAAAGGCAAATATTACTAAAAAGTATGAAGTGACAACATATGTTTTGTAAGAGAAAATTTACAAGAGTTCACTTCTACTATATGAATATTGACTATGGAAAATTACCTTACTATATGATCACCTATATTTAAGAGAAAATATTACTACAAATGATCATAACAATACCTCTCAAACACATCTACCACTAAAACGAATATTTGTTAGAGCACTGTTTGGCAATAATTTATTCTACTACTTCCTATGTAAGTATTACACTCATATGAAATGTTTTCCATTCATGTCACTTTCTTATTGATCCTCTTGCCTTTTAATTAAACTATAACTATTTTTTTTTTTTTTTTGCAGAACTGGGGATTGAACTCAGACCTTTGCGCTTGCCAGGGAAGTGCTTATTCTACTCAGCCATCTCCCTGGCCTGTAAACTATAACTATTTTTAAAGAACTATAATAAAATAGCAAAGATCAGAAAATTTTACCAAGTTTCCAAGAAATGGAAATAATTTTCCATTCATATCACTTAAAGTAGTTTTATAATATAATAAAACATACACCAATATTCTAATTATTTCTTTCAATAATTCATTTTTCTATGATTCACCGTTTATTTTTAGTTACAAGAAGACACATGAAGTGGTGAAATTGAGCATGGAGTATACATACACTAATGCTTGATTAAAACTTTCCAAAAAAATTTTAAGGTACGACTGAGTCTTTGAAGTCACCTGAAACTACAGAATTCTCATGATAACCTATCAACTGAAACTACAGTAATAATTTTGTAAGATTGACAGATAATGCAAATTAAAACACAAGAATGCACCATAAAACTTGGTAAAATTTTCTGATCTTTATTTTATTATAATTCTTTAAAAATAGTTATAGTTTAATTAAAAGGCAGGAGGAAAAAAGTAATATCTGTACCGCAGACTTAATTCCATTCATGTTATAGGTAGGTTTTTTTGCAAAAGTTAATTATATCACTTTACCTCCTGTGTAAAACCTAGGCACATGCCAAGAAAAAACCTTAGCATGCAAATAACAACTGAATAATTACATGATAGAATTCAAACACTCTTAGTAATACCTGGAAATGTGAATTCCTGAAATCTGAATGCCAAATATCTATCTATTACCTTTCTTGGATGCTTCAAAACTGTCATAGAGATTTATCTTCTGGGTGTCGTAAGTCAGAGTGGTGTTGGGCAGCAAAGTTCTGTTCCTGTTGATGGTGTTCACAGCAAATCGGAATGCAAGTTCCTCAGCACCCATCGGGCCAGATTCCACATATTCAAAAATACCACCTGGGAAAATAAAGAGAATAATTGCACAGTTCTTAGAATACATAGAAAATGTCATAAGTTTCGTGTGTGTGTGTGTGTGCGTGTATGTGTGTGTGTGTGTGTGTGTGTGTGTGTGTGTGTGTGCAAGTGCATGCGTGCATCTGCCAGTGTGTGATTGAAGTACATAGAGCTTATACTTAATTTTTCTTTAAACCTAGGTAATCCTTTCTGGCAAATCCATACTGGCAAAATTGCTTTGGTTTTACAGCAAAAGTTAAATGCGATTTAAATATAATCTTCCCTCTAACTTTAATAATCACTTCTTTTAGGGATTGATTTTGTATAGATTTTACCTTACATCCTGGAAACTGTCCTTCCAAATTTGGCATAGACTTTCAGAATTATCAAAAATCTGTATCTATATGAACCACAAGCCTCAGAATTGAGGAAATTAAATAAAATTTGTCTCCAATAAGCCAGAATTATTTAGCACAAGTTTTACGCTGGTTATTAGCCCAAATATTTGCAAACCCCACTGCTATGGATGATGTCTATTTGTCCCCCCCAAAGCCTCATGCAGTCAAGGGGTCATACTTCCAGAATTTGTGATTAATTCTTGATCTAATGCTGGGATTATGGGTGCTACACTGCCCTCGGGCAGATAATCTGCATAGGACTGTAAGGAAGTGAGAGAGGCTTGCTAGCAGCCATAGATGTTGCTCCTCTCTTTATTCTTTGCAACCTTCCGCCACCATAACCATGAATGGCTGCACTCTGCCATGTGCCACTCTGCCTTGGAGCCAGCAAAGTATGGCTCCATTAACTGTGAGCTAAATAGAGCTTTCCTTCCTTAATTTTGGGTGTTGGATATTTTGTCCCAGCAATGAGAGAAAAGCCACTGAGGCAGCCACCACCTGACTATGAGAATGAGAACAAAGTAGCATTTCTCTATTTCATTCGAAGCCTTATTTTGGAGAACAAGTGACATCTGTGGACCACAACAGTACAAAACAAAAGCCATACCCTTAACCAATAAATACCATTGTAGCATATCATTTTGAATATAAAATGTGCCATGTATTTTGAAAACATGTCCCTTCAGTTTGCTGGCTTCTACCAGCTGTCTCTCAGTCCATGTCCCTCAATCATTTTCGTGCCTTTTCTCTCTGGTTTGATGGCTCTCTTTTCAGCTGGAAGCAAATAAAACTTTTGAGTCCAACAGAATCTCTTTCTTATTATTGTTTTAGTGAGTGAAATGAAAGGGGACAGACCTGATACTGAACTCTGTCCAACCTCTGTCACTGTGAAACTAGCATTCTCAAAATAAATTAGAGCATTTATCTTTCTGAACCTTAAATTCCAAATTGTACACTCGCATTAGAATCATTTACACAATAAACTCCTTAGAATAAGTCAGTTCCGTAGCTAGTAGTTGATACCTAACCAAGATGCACGAAGGTCAGGTGACAGTTAGCAAACTGCCCACTCACATTTAATAAGAAGTCACAATATCATAACAACTCTTCCATCTAGGAGGAATGAGGTCTTGGAAGAGACCACAAAGATAAGGCATACTTATCTTCAGAGAGCACACGAAAATTTTCTATTTGATAACATGTTAGTGTAAAATTCTTTCATTTTTCCATATTTTAAAGAATTTGATGGTATAATTGTTAACAGCAGTCAACTTCCTCTCAGATAGTGCTATGAAAATAAACTCATCCGCGACTCATGTTAAACTGAAGATAACAAGTGTTTTCAAATCCAATGGGTGTTCCACACCAAACCATATCATTTTTATATGGATTCAGATTGAATTAATATTTTGGCTCTTCCATTTGCTTTTGGGGTGAATTTGGGCAGTTGGACAAAAATTCAGTCTGAGCTTACTCATTATGTTTGAAAAAGGAATGATAAGGGAGGCTACTACATAGAGTTGTAAAGATGAAATGTTATCTCATAAAAAAACACTTGGAACATATATATATATATATATATATATATATATATATAATTTCCACTGAATCCCCAAAACAATCTTAAGTAGTATTATTTTACAAGAAAAAACTCTTCAGCTAAAGATCATACAGTTAAAGATCAGGAGTGCAATTGGTCCATCTGAACTGCAAAATATTATTCAAACCACTAGAAACTAGTAGTTTTCCTCCAAATTCCATTCAAAGCAAATACAGAAAATTGCATCAAATGTGAGATAGGATAATTTCAGTAATGAGATGAAGTTAGAAATATAATATCTTAAACTGTCCTACCAATTTGATTTGAAACTGTCACATTGCTATTTGTTTCTCAATAAAACTATGGAAAAAAATTAAATTCATTTAAGAAAAAAATTTAAAAATTAAAAAGAAAAAAAAGAAATATATGCAGAATAGGAAAAACCCTGTAATTATAAAGTATCATAAAGTTAATTAGGGATTAAAAACTCAATGTTGGAAAATTTTAAACTACAATAGCTTATTGGCAAAATAAAATAAAAAAGTGAATCGTCTATATTTCTCAATTCTGAGATTTATTTATTTATTTATTTATTTATTTATTTTGGCGGTACCAGGGATGGAACTCAGGCCCTTACACTTGCCAGGGAAGTGCTTATTCCACTGAGCCATCTCCCCGGACCCCAAATTCAGAGTTTTAATGTCTACATGATATAAGGTACAGAAATGGTTAATGTTCAATGGGTTAAAATTTTCTTAACCTGTACTTTTTTCATGCATAAATAATGCAAACTTTAAGATCGCATATTTATCACCCCTTTGAATATTTAAAAAAATCTTTGAAATTCATTAGCATAACCAATTTTCTACCTTAATTAAAATGAATAATTAATTCATATTGACTCAAAGCCAGAGCTAATATTTCATCTATGATAAACCTTACAAGATCCACATAATGGGAACTTCACGGGCAAATTGTCTTCCATGACCACACAACAATAATAGCTCAAGCAAAGGAAGAAACTCAATAGCTCCACACTCTTGACATATGCAAAGAAAGTTTTGGTGCAGTGACAAGCTTAATTACTAACTAAATCAGCTTAAAGCCATATTCGTGGGTGTATCTGGCTAGGTCAGAGGAGTCACTGCCTTGGGACCTGTAACTGCTCCCTGGTCTTTTTCTCTGGTACATTTACCCGGCTCTGCTTCCTTGTTTCCATGATCCAGAACCTTCCTTTCTGCACGTGCTCCTCCCATGATGTGCCTGTCCTCCTGCCAGCTAACCAGGACCCCAATCACCTGAAACCAACAGCCAAACAAATTTCACCTCCTGTAAATTGTGAGTGCCAGGTATTTTGCCTAACAATCTGACATCACAGGTGGAGAGAATTTAAAAAGCAAACAAAAAGTCTTGCAAAAACTGCTTTCTAAAATGTTGGGTGAAAGGCCAGACAACTAGCTCAGCAGATTAAAGCGCCTGCAAGCAGGCTCAGGGTAGGGGGTTTGAAATCTGGGCCTGCCATGCTGGCCCTGCCCCCGGGTGTGCTGAGGTGTAATTGAGACTGGGCGTGGTGGCATGCTCCCGTAATCCCAGCTCTTGCAAGGCTGTAAAGAGGCAGATCACTATTAGTCCATGCTAGCAGTGAGATCCTGAACACCCTGTAGACCCTTCGCTAAAAAAACCAAAAAAAGTTGGGTTAAAAACCTTCAAAAAATTCTATTAAAACTTTTGGGCCATTGTAATTAGATCCAGCACAAGAATTAGTCAAAGAACAATAAAGTATAATCACCATACTAGATGTTACAGAGGTACTTAAGAGATAAAACTGTTTATTTATTTATTATGTATTTGGTATAGGGTCTCCAGGGTCTCCATGGTCTCACTACACAGATTGGATGCGTAGTGATTCTCCTGTTTTCAGCCTCCCAGGAGCTGGGATTACAGGCATGCGTCACCACGCCCAGATCTTGCTGTCTCAGCGAAGGGGGGGGGGGGGGCAGGGCCGGCAAGGCACGCCGGGCATCTAACACCAGCCGCGGTGGTCTGCTTAAGCAGAGCTATTTGGCTGCACCTTATTATTTATTTTAAAAAGACTTCTAGAAAATAAATGGAGAAACGCTGGGATTTAATAAATATAAAAATCACAAAATAATGGATGCTGTAAATAGTAGGGGAAAACAACAATTCTTATAATCACTTTTTTTCATTATGAGGACAACACTAAACGTTTTTCATCAGTGTTGCTTTTTGCAAATAAAATAACACAACTGAAATAATCCATTACTAATACACTTTCATGGAAACAAATACTAAGATTAAGTAAATCAGCGCTTTAGGCAGAAGAAGAATTATAAAGGAGCTGCTATGATGCTCACATAACATACTAAAGAGAGGACAATCGTGTCAACTAATAAATATTTATTTTGATTATGAAAAAAGTAAGAATATCCTATGAAAACTATCAGGTATGTGGAATTAAAGTGTATAAAAACCGGGAAAAGTTAGAAATGCATAAATGCAATCAAAGAATGTAATGTTTTAGCATGAGTGAAATTAAGGCAAGAGTAATAACTGTGTCCAATATACTTAAAAATGTATGTTGTAGAGATAAGACTAAACAATTATGAAATAATATAGAATCAGAAGTTAATGTGACAATGACAAAATATTTTACTTGTCTAAAAAGATAAGGAAAATGGAATAAAAATATATACAATATATTTCAAAATAGTAGTGTGGTTCTTTCAGTATACTAGAAAAAACAAAACAAAACAAGTGAAAACCAAAGAGCTACCATCCTATTTAAAACAAAAATAAAAAATAAAATCAATTGTTTTGGAGATACTAATTCAACGATTTTTATTTTGGAAAAAGTTGCCAAATGGAATCTGTGTGTAATGTTTAAACTAAAGACTTCATTAATCCATTGCCATATTCCATTTTCCCTTTCATGCTTACTAAGAGAACCAAAAGCATTAGATGTCTAAGGGAATTAGTAATAATCCCATTTTTACAAAATAAGTTTATTGCATGAGTTTTAAAAGATATCAGAATAATTAAC